TATAAATAGCCCTTATTAGGTGAACAAGCCAGCAGGAAAACAAAATTTTGCTTATCCTAACTTAATGTGGAAAAACACATTCACATGAGAAGGCCAAATTTTCCTTGAATTTCCAGGAAATTTCTGAATCTCAGACTTTTCTGTAGGTCTTGGCTGCATGTGCATGCAGATGAGCACTTAGCTCATATCTACATACATGAATCACATGGCAAAACTGTAGCTGCACACTGGTGTGGCAAGGAGGGTCTACTATAGTGTTTTCATCATTTTCAAGCAATACAACCTCAAATAATTGCTTTGTTTTGAACACATACAAAAACTGCAGCAGAGCTGATGAAGAAAATCCCCGGCCTCTGAACAGCCAAACAATTTACTTCTGCAAAGGAGACATAGCAGACAGCCACATACACAGCCTTGCAAGCCACCTCATTTCAGTCCTGTGCTAACCCACTGGATATGCCACTTTCAAGCATTTATTCTGCCTGTAATTCCCATGCACTACGCTCACAGTGGCTCCTTTTCTAGTCTCTCTCTCCAGGTAAATACAGCCAAATAACAGAGTCAAGACAACTATACTATAGGAACCATGTAATGGTTATGCACACAAAGGCTTATTATTTGCTTTAGCTCAACATTGTACTTGTTCAGCTGATAAGTAACTTAGGGGTGGACATTTACAGAGACTATGTGTGCTTCAGAGGTCAGTTAAACTGTAGGACCTCTCCAAAAAGTTGTGCTTAGAGTATCAGGAAGCTAGGGCCAACTCTGGTCTTAGAGCACCTAAGGAACTTGTAACAGAACCTTCTGTGAGAAGATCCTGCACAAGGCACCTACATCCAGGAAAAGATAAATGCTTTCCATAGGAAACTTGTGAAATCCTTCCGTGGTGAAATGTCATCACGTATTTTCTAAGTATATGGCACATGAAAATTATTCCTTCATCATGTTTTCCTACTGCCTGTCCATGCTTTTAACTCCTCTTTCACACCCCTCCTAATTCCCACCCTCCCTAATCAGCACCTCTCCCAAAATCAGTGATCTCCGCCAGTGCCTGACCACCCAAAGTGCCCGACCACCCAAGGTGCCCTGTGTACCATGCCTTAGCTGACTGATTCACTGATGACTGTGACAATTACTCCCACTTAGCAGGCAAAAGGAAGGGAAAGTGACCTCTTGTTTTGCTAATAATGATTCCAGTTACGCAAACAGGATCCACCAGCATTTCTCTTGCACATGTTTTCATAGTAATAGCCATGAATTTTCACATAGCCTTTGAGAAAGCTGTGCTGGCTAGCTATATTCTTTCATTATAAATACCTTCTATAGCTGTTGGTACCTGGGCTTTCCCAACAAAATCAAGGGTGAACTCTAGCTTGCTCAGTCTTAGCTAAGGAACAACCTGTTTGACTAGGAGTCAAATGAAGTCAAGCCAGTCAGTTTTTACACCAGGAAATCCTTACAAAACATGCCTCTAATAATTCCAAGGAGTTTGTTGTTAAATCAAACTATGCCATGACAAATTGGCACTTTCAAACAAAATGCATTCTCATAATTCTCACATTTCTGTAAATAAATGTTAAATGAGAGCAATGTGGTGAAATTCCAGTTAGCTTGCTGGAAAGCAGGAAGGTTAACTAATCCTCAGCGTAGTTTCAATCATAAACAAATACAATGTTTAAAGAACTCCAGGGTTCAGGTTTCTGCAGAGGCTGCTATGGCACAGCAAGGCTACAGTGCTCTTCACCAGCATCTGGCTCCCCAGAGATTTTTCTGCATAAATCTCAAATTTTAGGATTTGAGTTTTATTGACATGATGGGTCTTAAGCTGAACAGGTTGAGCCAAGCTTACCAAGATGTCAGGGCATCCTTCTAGCTTCAGCTTCTCATTTCTGCCCTCTTTCCCATCTCTCCTGCATCTGATTTCTTCTCTGTTCAGAGATGCCTGGTTGTCAGTCCTATGCCAGACACAGGCCATGACCCCCAACCCGGCATTTCATCCCACTGAAGTCCCAAGGGTGTGCTCCATGGTAGGAATTTGCCTGTTAAACATTGTGTCCAAAGAGACCTGTGACTTGAAAAAGCCTTACTCACTCTTCCGCCATGGTTTGCCATTCTGGGCACCATATTTTCACAAAAATCTGATTTGTTTATAGAAAAAAAAATGCATTTTGCTCCTTATTATAATTGGGTAAACATTTAGTGAGAGATCATAATTTCTAGGAGACCCCCATATTGATAGTTCTGATCCTACATCAATCAGAGGAGCTTTTTCCTATTACTTTGATGGGAATCGAATCAGCCCCAGAACCACCCAGGCATGTCTGTACCCACTGCTGGTTGTTGGGAAGTGTGGCATATGAGAAATCAGATCCGCAGCTCCAGTACCGGAGCTCAATACTGAGTACGTGATTCAAGGACTCGTGCAGTGAGCGTGACAAGCACAATGACTTACAGAACAAGGCGGAACACCCAGTATCAATGTTTAAAGAGCTGAAACCTGATCTGATACCTTTGCAGAAGGACAGAGAGGTAAAGGACTATTAATATGTATTAGGAGAGGGACGCAAATTAGAGCTGTGAAACCTTCCTTGTGGAATAAAACTGAGACGGGCCACAGCCAAAACTATAGAGGTGAGTTTTGCATATCTCTGCCATGGGAAACCAGAACCTCGGATACAATTGCTCCTAAATCCAGGAATTAGGACTTTGGACCTGGATCTAAACTTCCCATCTTTGTAGGTTTTTCAAAACAGTGTTTAGATGTGATCTAACATAAATTCAGACCCAGACACAAAAATCTCAGCTCAGACTCAACTACTGAAATGAGTTACCCAACCTAACGCCATTCAGATCCAAATTTGTCCAAATTCCTAGGAAGTTCAACTTCAGCTAAACTGATTCTGAAGTACTGTGGTGAAGTGCAGATTCAGATGTGTGAAACATCTGGAGAAATTAGGATACGTAGAGTAAGAGGGAAACATAAGGATGGAAATAAGAAGCAAAATAGTGAGAACAGCTGACTGCCAAGGGAGGAAAGACACACTGAGAGGGGAAAGGAGACACCTGCATAGCTCTGTTCACACATAGAACACAGAAGCCAGCTCTAGTGTGGAAGCCATGGCTTAACCTAAAGTCCATTCCAATAAATCTTGATTTTCAGGTAGCCTTGCTGGAATGGGAACACTCCCATACTAACCAGCAAGGCAACTCTGGGACTGGGCTGACTTGCACTTCTCTTAGAAACAATGGCACCTGACTGCTTGTGAGCAGGTATCTGGTATTTTAGATAGCTGACACATTGACACAATTGTGTAGATATGACCCGAGTCTGGAGTAACAGGCCCAAGCAGAAGTAATTTAAATCCATACCGGTGACATCTCTTCAGCTGATTCTCACATCAAAACAAAAGTTTGGGTTAAATGTGGCATTTCTAAACTGAAATGGTAAAATACTTACTGCAGCCCTGAGGTCATTTCCATAAATGGAATATTGCTGTTTCAGCTTTGCTGCTCTTGATAAAGAAGAAAACCACAAATCCTTGCTTGCTCTGTACTGCAGACAGACAGAAGGAAAAATACGTGGCAATGCTAAGTGACCACTTGATCTGCAAGCACAACCTGAGGTGCGTGTAAAAGTTGGTAAGAAATAAATCTGAAGCAATGCTGTTCCATTCTTTGCAAGACCAAAGGAATAAACCTCCTCACACACAGCGTCCTCTTGATCTGCAAGATCCACATGGGTTCCCTAACTCAATAGAAGCTGCTTTGTGTTAATGCTCACTCTTGCCTCCCATGTACTCACCATTGAATGTAACTCCTTTTGGTGCTGCACAGAACCAAAAAGGTCATTATTCAAACAAGAGAGGTATATCAGAGACATGCGCAAAAAGCACCTTGCCACTACCTTTACAACGGCAGTGACATTGCAGAAATTACACAAAATGATTGTGCCAAACTCAACATGATTTTGTGGGGTTGGTCCTTTTCCATTATCCACATTTTTGTTTACCTACTTGTCAAGTGCACATGTGAAAACTGCACATATAGCCATGGGTGCAGTTACAGCTCTGTGCAAAGCTTTGACACACATGGGCCAAGGACAGATTCCAGTAAGACCCACACAGAGCTGTGATGGTTGCGTTGCAGAAGCACTCAGGGGTAACAGCAGGGCCATGTGAAGGAAGGGAGCCCAGGCTACATGCCAGAGATGCCCGATATAGGGTAAAGAGGTTGGAAATTGCAGGCTGGCTCTGAAATCAGCAGACTTGCATGGGGCTGCAGTGAACAGAAAATTGGACTGAATGAGGTCTCTCACAAAACAGAGAGGAAATCCTAGCAGTGTTTAAAGACTTCATGAAAAGAAGAAAGCAGGAGCAGCAGCTACAGAAGCAAATGAGATTAATGGTGGAGATTTTTTTAAGGTGGAAGAGAAGAATGCTTGCTTGCATTATGGGGCAAAAAATGGCAGAGCAAAAAGAAAAGAAAAGAGAAAAGCAGAAGAGAGTAGGGATGGCAGGGGTTCAGACAGAGATCTGCTTCCAGCAGGAGTATATGCCCTGCCTCTCGCCCTATGCACCCTATTACCAGCCATAGGGTATCTGTAGCTTGTACAGCACTACCATGTTCCCTAGACAGCAGCTTGACTACTGCCTGATCATATTCCTCATTAACCATTCTGGGATGTACTTTTAGGACCTTTTGGCTGGCATGATCCACCCACATAACATCATTGCAGTGGGACAAGGAGCTATAATGACGAATCTGAGCTTGGCTCTTACATCTGTGAGTGTAGGCACAGAAAGACTTAAGGCATGACAGCAGGCCCAGGCCTGTGCTCAATATACACTAAATTTTTAGAAGCATTTTTTCCCAAAACTAATGGCATAGCCCAGGAAACAAGCACTGGCCTCCAGGGCATTGTGCTGGGACCTACAGCACACTTTTTCTTCCCTGCCACAGGCATGGTGATTTGTAGATCTGTGCATGACTGCTCACATAGTGAACTGCATAGCTTGACATTACCCACACAGCAAATGCTGGGAAGTATCTTCTGAGTTAAAACATTAACCATTCTTTGACAGGCCTGGAAGAACTTAAGGTGAAGTTTTCTTTATTTTCGCAAGACATTCAGCCCTTGCCTCAAACACAATCTTATGTTAGATGTACTCGATGCTCGCTTGGGTATACAAGACTTTGAGGATGCTGGGCATCCCAAAGGACTGGGAACACAAGTCCAAGCACAGACCTTCCTTAGGAAATCATTTCATCTTACCTTTAAAATTACAGAGTGAAAGGCAACAATAAAACAGGTAATAAATTGCCATCAATCAGAACCAGAGCCCCATATCTTCCTGTAACCGAACATCTCAGTGAGACCAAACTACTGGCAGTGCAATAAAACTCAAAGGGTGTAGAGTTTGTGTAACATGAAGACATAATTTCTGCTTCATGAATCTACTTATAGAAAAGAGGAAAGAATTTCTGGGAAGTAAGCAAGTTTGTTTAAACAGAAAATAAACTTCAAAGGAAAACAGAAAAAGGGGAGGGTAAATGCAGAGATTACTTGGTTTTGAAATCTGTACAATTGTTCAATAAAAGTGCCTGCTATTCAAATTTCATTTTTGGTTTAAACATTATAGTTTCTTTTGCTACTCTTGGCAAAATGCTGTCCATATCCTGGAGGCACTTCCGTTGTTACTCTTTTCCTAAGGCTCTGACCTTGAGGCTCCACAGGGACACCAGAGTTCATTCCCACAGATTAGCTTCCAGGACTGGGGGTTGCATATAGCTTATCGGAGGGTGTGGAATGATGTTTTTCAGATATGGACACCAAGGTTTTCCTGCAAAAACACTACAGGTTAGCTTGAAGTTGGAGAAACTGGCTGTGTCACTACTGCAGGATAAAAAATAAAACTCCATTCTTCATTATTTCTTCTAAAACTACAGTATCAATTTCAGCTATTTTTTTATTTAAAATTGTACATTTTTAGAGTGGTGAGGAGTAGCTAGCAAGTCAGATTGCTTTTTCTCTGCCTCTGATTGCAATTCCTCTTTAAAAGGCTTCTTGTAATCCTCTTCAGCAAGGCATATCAGACATTTACCAACCAAAGAGAGACACAGAGGCGAAAGACACCATTTCTATTTACTCACATCCTCTTTTTGGGGAAGGAGAAGGTGAGATTCTCTGGAAGGAGTTACACTTCAGCAGTACATACCCTTAAGTCCTTCTTTTTAAACTGATATGATTTCAGTTTTTATCAAATGCCATAGCTATATTTTACCCACAATATCCTTATTCTCCTGAGAGCTAAACCAGCTGACATTTATGACCTTAAGTGTTAGCATGCTATTAATTCACATATGCACTCTGCACACAGGGGCAAGGATTGACAGAAGGAAAAGCAATTTTTAACAATTAAATTTCCTATGGCTTTTAGTGGAACTAGCTCCCATTGGGGACCTACCTTCTTCCCCTGCCTTTGAAAATCCAAACAAATATTAGTATTTAACAGTTTTTGTAGCAACCCTTATACTAGGCTTTTAATGTTCTTTAAGCAGATTAATGAATCAAACCTTTTAATATGCAAGAAAGACAAGTGGTGTTTGCATAAAACAGACCCCAAAGACCTCAAGAACATTAAAATCCAAAGCCCACTGGAGCCAGAGGAAAGACATGGACTGACAGCAGGGACATGAGGATCCTTGTTTTGGCCAGACACTGCAATGAAAGCTGGAAAAAAAAGGAAAGTTCCCTGTTTACCCACAGGTCTCTCCTTCCCATATGAACATCAAACTTATTTGGAGCCTGTCGTGGTTTCAGCTAGGATAGAGTTTATTTTCTTCCTAGTAGCTGGTGAAGTGCTGTGTTTTGGATTTAGTAGGAAAATAATGCTGATAACACACTGATGTTTTAGTTGTTGCTAGTAGTGCTTACCCCAGTCAAGGACTTCTCAGTTTCCCATGCTCTGCCAGTGAGGAGGGGAACAAGAAGCTGGGAAGAGCGGATAGGACACTTGACCCAAACTAGCCAAAGAGGTATTCCAGACCATAGAGCATCATGCTCATTATATAAACTGGGGGGAGGAGAGGTCCACTGATTGCTGCTCAGGGACAGGCTGGGCATAGGTTAAAGGGTGGTGAGCAGTTGTATTGTGCATCACTTGGGGTTTTCTTGTTTGTTTTAATTCTCTCTCTGTCCTATTATTACTGTTGCTGCTGTTGTTACATTTTACTTTATCTCAAGTATTAAACTGTTCCTATCTCAACACACAGGTTTTACCTTTTTTCTGATTTCCCTCCCCATCCCACGTGGGAGGGGGACAGTGAGCAAGCATACATGTGCTACTTAGTTGCTGGCTGGTCTTAAGCCACAACAGAGCACAAAACATTTCTGGAAAATTTGGCATTGTTTTGGTCTGGTTCACATTGCTTTTTATAAAGCTTTTTATCATGTTTTTCAAATAGTGTTAGCACCAGACTGACCTGCCACCTTTTATTTTTAAAGAAGTGTTAGTAGTCAGATTCCTAGGAATAACTACTAAAGTCAGAGGACATGTGCTAGCCAAAGATCCTCTACATTTATAACCAAGTACTTCTATAAAATATTGTTTCAAGTACAGAAAATGTGGCAGATAAGGCATTGCTGGATGACAGTTACATTTTCCTCAAAGTAGGAAAAACAATGCGTAGTTCCCAAAGGCCCTATCTCTGTAGGCTTGAAATGGTGGGGGGGGAGGGGGGGAATGTAAGCACTGTCTTCCATTTCTCAAGAGGTGCCAGTAATAGAAAGACAATGGATAAGCCTTTCTTGCACTGTATACGATATTTTTGCATCTGCATGAACGTTATATACACAAAGTACACATGCACACAAATACACAGAGATGTCAAAAAAGGAATGCCATAAATGCAACCACAGAGTTGAGAAATCAAGTGTTTCAAAGGCAGGAAAATGCAGTCTTAAAATAAAATGCTCTCCCTGAACTTTACTCTCCTGTATTTACTCTAAGATACTGGATTTGTTATAAAAATGAACAGGAGAAATACTGGTGATTCCAACAGCACAAACATAAACCCACTTTTTGTACAAGTCAGCGTAATACCCTCTACCAAAAGTAACGTCTAGCCCATCCAGATCTATAGGCTGGTGAAGTTCAGCTCAGCTAGTTTTCTGCAGCCTTGTCATACTTGAATTGCAAGGGTCTATTAATTCAGCTGACTTTGGTTAAACTGCCTTATTGCTTAGCTATCCTTGCACAAAAAATGTGGTTTTATCTGGGGAAAAGTTATTCAATGCATTTGGAATGAAAAATGCAGTAAATGAATGCATTCTCCTTGCTGCAATGAGAAAAACTATGAAATCAAATTAAATTTGGCAAAATTGTGCACAGCTAGTGCAAGGTTTTAAAAATCTGAGCTAAAGATCTCCCTTTAGTACTCGGTATTCTTAGTAATATTATCTTTAACACACTCAAATGCTAATATACTCATAAATTAGGCAACACACACTTCAAATACATCCAGTTTTTCTTTATGTGAAGTACAAATAATAATAATGAATTAATTAAATCTCTGCATTGTATCAAATCCTGACATTTCATGAAATGCTTTACAAATTCACCATTGCATAAAGTGCTGCTGTAGGTTAAAATTAAATGAAATGTAATATTAATTCCTGCATCAAGGGATTAGAAACAAGAATTTCTGCAGCATGGTGGAGGTTATCAACTGGAAACACAGAAGAGAAGACTGAGGATACTGGGATCACAGGATGCCCATTAGACCCAAATGTAATTATGAATTAAGTAATGTTGTCCTGGGATATTTCAGACACAATATTTCCATTAGAAATTGAATAACATTATGGCAATGTGCAAAGCACTGCTGCACCTTCATCTGAAATACTCTGCATACAACTCTGATGACCTATTGTTCAGAAGGGATGAATTGAGGATGCAAAGACACTGCAGATGACTGGCATGAGCCAAAGAACAAATAAGCTACCATACATAAGAATACAATAGCCTCATTTGTTTAACCTAGTGAAATGAAGGTCAAATAGGGATACAGAATAAAACCCAGAAAGCTAAAACAACTTTTTCAGCTACTGGGTAATGCCGACACTTGATGGAAACTGGAATTACAAAAATTTCACAATAATCTGGATTTTCAACAAGCAAAGAAATAGGGTTCTGAAACAGATAATAGGGGAAGTAGAAATAGAAATCTGACTGGTTTTACAGAGAAATTCAATTAACTTGTGAAAGGGGTTGTATTATCTGCAACAGGTGAGACACAGACTTGATAACCCAAAAGGTCCTTTTGAATTGTATCATCCTACCTGATAGGTATTAATCCTAAGGGATAGTATGCCCCACAGGTTTTCTGGGGTTCAGGCACCCCTAGAAGACTGAGCACCACTAATGTTTCAAGGACTGCAAGAGATGACAGAACTACCACCTCAACACCACTTTTTAATCTAAATCAAGAGTTCTCAGCAATGCCTACTCACGTTTACTGTTTTCCTGAAAACCCTCTGGGTTACTACAGCTACAGATGTACAGCTAGCAGTCATCACTGCTGAAAGCACCTTCGAGTTCATAGGTTATCCAAGCCCATGTCTGGTCTTGCCCTCATCCCTGCTCAGGCTCCTCTGCCAAGCACTGCCCAGTGACACATCCCTGCTGCAAACTGCCACGCTCTGAGAACCTGGAGAGCTTTGTGCAAACCCAGAGGACTGTGCAAGGAACCATCAGTGTTCAAGCAGCCAGGATTTGGAAATCTGGCTCTCAGTAACAGGCCAGTTTGTTAACATGAGCTGTGGATCCTGGAGCGTTCCAAGCCCGATTCTTTGACTTCAGACTGTTTTCATCAAAGACCATCTTTTCAGATGGGATGGGATAATCCCACCCAGGGGTTGCCTTCTGGTCCATCTGCAACCTTGTGATCACAATGATTTGGAAAACTGTAGCTATTGCGTACTGAAAAGAAGCCTTGCCCACCTATAGCCATCACCTGCTATTCCTCCTGCAATCTCATTAAGCCATGTTTTGCTTTGCTGACACCAAAGCTGCCAGAGATCAGCTGGCAAAGGAGACTGTATTAGTAATGTGGCTGGCATTTTGCCTCATGCAGCTGAGATCACTTCTGAGCACTGACTCTCTACTGGTCTACTCAGACCAATGGCCTAAAATTCTCTCCCACTGTTCAGCTTCCCAAGATGTAGTGTCCTTGCAACTGGGCTATTGCACTGGCCTTGCTCCACAGAGGTGATAATATCTATAATTACTATTTTTCTTGCCTTATGTCTTCTTTCCCTAGCCAGCTGCCTGGGTTGTTGAAATACTTGGTGAGGCTGTGTACCCGTTCCGTTCCTAAAGCTCCAAGCAGCCCTGTTGCCCATTCATCTTAACTCATGGCAATGTCTCTGCTTCACTAGAAATTTTTTTACTTAAATTGTTTCTAATTTGGGTTAGAATCTTTGTTTTCCAGGCATTTCCTTGTGAAACACTCACATCTCTCAGTCACACAGACCTTTTTATCTTGGAGATCAGAGATGTGAAGTGCAAACACTGTCTTCTTTGCACAGTGTATAAACAAACCTAAATGTAGCAACCAGGATGGGATTAATTTCGCTTCACCTTAGCCACCTAAAATTCAGCATCACTCAATCATCTAGATCCCTTATATATTGACTAGAAAGGGGAAATTTCTTTTGGAAATGAAATTTCACTCACACTGACACATGGGAAGGTCTCACTCTCTGGAGAGGTCCCTCTCCAGCAAATGCAGAGCATGTCTAGGACACCTGATACTCAGAAAACTAAAGGTAGATGAGACTGATGATGGATGTTTTATGTCTTGACAGTATTTTGTAAACAGAAACTAATTATTTCTGGCTCTTAAAAGTTAAGTAAAATTTCTAGCCCATTTCAGAGTAGGCAAATAGAAGCACATACAGAATATATGACCTGTCAAAAGCCAGACTGGTAATCACTGTCAAAGTCACAGGAAGAACACAGGAGATCCTCAATCACAGTCCTGTACTAAGACCATTAAACCATGCCTCTTTCAACAAACATCTTTCTACTTGTTACCAGCAAACATCTCAATAGCAGTTTTACATGGGTTATTAATTGCTTGCAGTTTTGAATAGCAATAAAAAGTAGTCTCACACAAAGGATTCTCTGGAGCTGGATGGCCGTCCCCTAACCCCTTCAAGCCAGCTTGAAGAAAGGAGCCAAATGCAGAATCCAGAGCAGTTCCAAGTGATCCTACACTGCTCTGGATCCAGTAAAATTCTCCTGGAGACACAGCTGTACCAGAAGTTTGGGGGTTTGCTTTTTTTTTTCCCCCAGGAAAGAAGGGGTAGGAGCAAACCCAGTTTTTCCTCCAATTGTAACTGTGAAAGGCTTACCAGCTCCAATAATATTTTCTAGTGTAGAGCAGACCTCCAATCTTCACAGGTACTATGCCATCTCCTATCCATAAAAGTCAAGCCAATGAACCTTCAAGTTCATAGGTTATCCAAGCTGCTACAAATATATATCTATGTGTGCATCTGTATTAATATGAGAACATACGCATATTTGGGTGTACCCAGGAGTATTCGCATGTGCACACACACAATTTTATTATTTTTAGGAATTAATTCTTGATATTTAGATATTTCTTTTTGCTAATACTGTATCACCTCACCAGAAATTTGTATGCACCCATACAGGAACTTGAGATATTTTTTTTTTACTTTATCAAGCCAGACACAGCCTTCAGAGCACTGAAGAGACCCACAGGACCATGGAGGGAGAGGTATGGCTATAAAGCCAGGGTGAATAATTAGTGGTGCAGGGAGGTTGCAAATTCACTGGCAAATACCCACTGCCTAGTCCAGTGAGCTGCTGAACTCCCCATGGCTGGGGAGGACATGCATGGAGCAGTTCAGCTGCATCATACAAGAGGCTGCAGCTTATCAGAAACAATCCTAAGAGAAAGAGAAGGATTTGCTCTTTTTCAAACAGTTTGGTAACTGAGAACAGAAAATAGTGGGTTTGTCTAGTGGGTTTGTCTGTGGTGAAAGTAGCCATGTATCCTGCGCTCATTTTGCTACTGTGCAGAAAGAGAAAGCAAAGCAATAGCATTTTAATTTCAGGTTGTTAATGCTATACCCTGCTCTGCACACCCCATGCTTCATGCTGAGGAAAAGCTACAGCATGCCAGAAAGGAGCTCTTTTCAATGAGCAGAAACAAAACTGAGGAAACTGGAAATCTACATTATTTACTGCACCTAAACCTCTTTCTTATGGTAACCAACAGCCCCGGCCAGCAAGCCGCAAACCAAAAGACACCTTAATAGTCCAGGAAGTTCAGATATCTTTGAGTTAAATATTGAGCAATGCAGGTGCGGGCTGCAGATGGGAGGTTTGGGTGTGAAAGCATGCCAAGTGCATAAACAAAACTCTATTGAAGGAAGCCAATTTTAAGATCTCAGTGAATTCATTGCACATAGACAGCAGGCATGCCACAGACACCCTGCCTGAGAAACAAGAGTTTTCAAGGTTCCTCAGTGTGCAAACCACAGGCATAAAAAGGAACCTGCTTTGCTTTGTCACAATTACAGTTATCATTAGGCATGCTCAAGTATACTTTCTGTTAAATATGTGGAGGCAAATAACTTCTTCATGCAACTCAGCTGAAGTGAGCAAGGGACTTGGTCTGTATTCAGGGAATCAATGCTTTTTTAATATTTGTGTCTAATTATTTGAGAATTAAGAACCAAAGATCTTGCTGAAAGCAAGGAGGCAGACCATCTGTATTTCAATTATTTCCACCTTACTTCTTCCACTCAGCTTTTGTACACTTTGTGTTCCCCTATCCACTGGGATATGCAAGCCATTTTTTAAGACTGAAAGAAATCCTGGTTTAGTGTGTTCTTCTCTATCTATAGAGAAACAGGAGCTCTACTCTATAAAATTTACATAAGTTCAAGCAATAAATGAAATTACAAAAAAATGCTTGAAGGGGGGTACTTGAAGAGAAAACAGCTTAAATCTGATCTTTTCAAAGACTGGATGCTAAAGTGCAGGCAGAATTTACCATGCCTTCAAACCTTGAATTCTCCTCATTTCTGCAAAACAGCCCAATTAATAGTCCACCATCTAAGGAGAAGAAGATATGACAAAGAAAATACAAAGATCACGTAGCATCTTCTTAAAGTAAACGATCCTTGCTTGGCTACACAGCAACTTTCAAGCAATGCCTACCACAAGTCTTAAAACTGGCAACTACCCCAGAGAAATCCACCTTGCATAACATATTCCACTGAAAACTCAATAGCCTTGTGGTGAACCTACTGGCTTAGAGTTTCCTTGAACAGGATTTTTAAAGAAAAAAAATGAATCTAGACCTTTTCTTCTTCCACTGCACACTGTATCTCTATTTAACATAAATTTCAAAGGGAAAAAGCTGTAACACCAGCTTGCCTTACTAGTGCCTGGCTCCATAGCTACATAAAATGACTTGTTCGATTCTGAAGTTGTTTCTCTTAGCTTTGTTGAGACATTTACTAAGATAAAAAAGAAGCCAATATCCAGTTGTTACTCCATCATGCTATAGGTGACTATAGGTAAACTACAGGTGATAACAACACAGGTGCTGCTGCATGTAAAGCTTAGTGAACAACAACCCTACCAAAGTAGCCCCTTGAATTTCCTTGGAACCACTGACATGAATATTGTCATTTTTGGATCTGGACAGTTGTTCATACAGTGCTTTTGATATAGAAAGGCTTATGCATATGCTAACTATTCTGTTACTGTTGATGCATACTTAAAACACAGATCTTCTGATGTATTCTTCATGTCTCACATTTCTTTGCTTAGGTTCCAATTCTACCTAACCTTTACATCCAGCATATTAATTTCTATGCCAGAAACATTTGCATTATATTAGGTTAGGCACATATATAAGCTTTTTACAAAATCCAGGATAGTTATTAATTCACAAAGATTGAAATTTTCTCTTCTCAGGCATGCCTTTGAAATTACTCCTAAACATTTATTCCAATTTAAGGATGTAAACGGGACTTATACAGGAAATGGGCTGCTGCTGGCTGTTTATGCATGGGTGAATTTTGTCCAGTGGGTGTGTATGTTGATTTTCCACTCTAGAATTTCTGTTCCTCCCAATTCTTCATCATTACCTGCCAAAATCACTGTTGTTAGTTTTGGGTTTTTGTACACTTTAAGTCAGATTTATGAATTTCACAGTCATTCCACACCTGATCCTTTTTCCATTCACCTTTAACTTTTTTCCCTAGCCCTGATCACAACTGCTTAATCAATCAGTGAATCAGTGACCTTTTTATTAATTACTCATTTAACTAAAAGCTAATTTGTTAATAGAGTAAGTCTTGGAGTACTGTGGAGCAACTTTCTAGAGTACTATGGGAAAAGTGTGTCACTTCTGTGCTTATTTCTGAGAACTTCCAACCCCAAAGGAACAATGTTTATCTCTGCAGCAGTTTTCTTTGAAAAGATTTGAGGATTTCAAGACTTCAGATTTAGAGTCAAAATCTGCATGAAGTACACAGACCTTTTTGCGAGAAGCACCCATTTGCATTTTTAATTATACAATTCTTTTTCCCAAAGCAATAAAACTCAATTGCTTCTGAACAGGAAAGCTATTTTACCTGACATAATTTTTAAATATTATTTCCTTAAAGCTTGACCCTTCAGTTTAAGCAGATTTTCTATTTCCACTTTACATCTTCAATAACTGACACAATTTATTATCCTCTCTGAAAGCCAACAAGTAAAAATCTGATTTGAGACTTCTGTATTCTGAATTTATACTTAACCTGCCATGAGCACACTCTAAATAGGGACTGAATTTTGTGTGTAATCCTACAATTATATCACATTTTCTTTTCAAATGTCAAGCATTCAAACATGGTAGGTGGAAAAAAATGAAATTAAAAATTGTATATTGCACTGGAAGTGAGAGCCATTGGGGTTATCCAAGAAAAATATCTCTTTTCTGTAGAAAGCTGGAGGCTCCACAAGCCCCAGACTCTATATTTCCAACTATTCATGGAATACATGGCTGACCAGTAGCAGTTTATCCAAGCCCTTTATTAGAAGCATGCACAATATACTGTCCTCTCCTTATGCTCTCTGCAAAGGCTGAATGAAGAGGAGAGGGGGCAACAGACACAACAGGTACAGGCCAAAGGAAGATTTTGGATATTGTATGTCCCAAAGAGAGAACAGCACAGTCTGGATGCCTGCAGAAATAAAACCAGCACAAATGCCCTTTGAAAGTATGGTCAAAGGATAAGCACGAAGAAATATAAATGGACACTTATTTGTGCTCAGCAACAAATACTGAGCATTTACAAGTACTTTAAATCATGGTTCAGAATTGCTAGAGCAGATTTTTATGTGGTATCTCTTAACTGTTCACCAAATGTTGACTTTCTCCACTGATGTGAACCTGCTTTGGCCATGCCTCACCAAAGGTTTTGCTGAAGGAGCTCTTTAGAGAGGTGTTCACCATATGAGTAGCTTTGCTGTTCATAAGGGATCCAAAGAAGCCTGAGGAAAGCATCCCTCAGTGTAGATAGAGGAGGGTAAACTTGACTGAAAAGCCATCTTCATATTCTCCTAATCTTGGTCTTCTCAGTGCCATGTAATTCAGACATCCCAGACCGACTCTTCAGCTGGCATGTGAGCAGCAGTGCTCTCCCAGCACGAATACACTTTAGATTACAGCCATTATTAATGTCCCCATGGCTCTTCCCACTCCCATCCCTAGTAAAACCTCTTACCAAGCTTCTGAAAGCATGTTTGGAAAGTGGCCACATGGCTGTCTTCCCTCGTTCCCATTCCAGATCAATTGTCTCCTCTCTGAAGACCTCTTCTTCTCTTCCATCTCTCTTGCAGGCTGTGAAAGGAGGCAGTAGGGGTAAGAATCTCATCTATGGTTTATATAGATCCAGCAACCCATGTTTTGTTGTCTGTGTGACACAGAAGAGGCAAGATCTCATTTCTGGATAGTTTTCAGTAACTTTCCTGTTTTGGGAACTGTTTTATTTCTGTTTAAATGTTACTATAGATACTGGAATTCAGCTTTGTAAAGTTACATAACCAGCATCAGCAGAGGCGAGGGCAAGGACATCAGGAGGGACATAACATCCTCCTGTGTGAACCTTATGCAGAGGAGAGCGTTTGGTGCGAGAGCCCTGGGAGGGAAAGGTACCCTTCACACCTCTCTCCTGACCTGGGAGTGTGTGTGGCTGCCCTCAGCTCCATCAGGGACTGAACATGGCTGAAGCATCTGGGAATGATTGGGTGAAACTAGTCATAGGACAGTCATTAAAAATACTGAATGGTTAATAGCAGATTTTGTTCAGATGTCAGGAGATGGCAATACATACAAGCACATGTTCCACAGCTTGGAAATGGGAATGATGGTACATTGCATTTATCTGGACTGTTCAGGGATGTGCACAGAAACCAACCCATCTTGGAAGAAGCTAACTCCAGGCCCAGAGTGCCAGTGTGGCCATGCACCCCGGCTAACTAGCCCAAAAAGCAGAGCTAGTCAGTTGTCATGTCAACACTGTCTCCATGCCCAAGACCCACAGTGGTGGCTGGCCAAGCACAGTTCAGAAGTCATCAGCTTGCTCAGAGAAAACTCAGAGGAGTTACCTAACTATGGTAGTATGCTCATGGTGTCAGGCCTTTTTCTGTTACTCATGAATATTTCTTTCTCATATGGAAGGGAAAAAGAAGTTTCTAAACTAACCTGCAAACGTGTGAATAAATTTGTTTTTTTCACCATCACGTTCATAATTTTGGAAATTACTTAGGAAATACACTGTTCTCAAAGCCTATTTCTGTTGCTCCACCAAATACAGCTGAATTCCACCTGCACACCTGCATGTAATAAGGGAAAGGGTGGTTCAGTGATTTCCCAATGTTTTCAAGAAAGCTGGGTTCAGATCTTGACTCCTTGAAACATCAGTCTATGTTCATATTTCCAAAACAGAACAGGCGTTTGAACATTTAATGGAGAATCTACTGATTCAGACACTGTAATTTTTACCCTTCCCTGCTAATACTACCTCAGTTTTCCATGACTGAAATGGTGATCACACTTCCCTGTTTCACTAGGATGCAACAAAGAGAAATTCCCTTACTGAGTATGTGATACTTATCATCAGTTTGATGAAAAAGACAGCTGAAATGGAGATTCTCTACATTGCAGCCATATAAAATGCCCAACTGTTTTTTATTTAAACTAGTGTCAGTTGTAATCTCACCTTTCTTGACAACTACTACAAATGCCGCTTTTACAACCAGTACAGATGCTGATGCTGCTTCTTCAGTGAAACAAGGAGAGAGCTCAACAAGGCAGAGACATCAGGCACTTATTTATGACTAGAAGGGAGTAAGAGTTAACATCACACAGCAATATAGGAAGGCAGACTTTCTGAACAGAAGCCCTGTTTCACCTTCCCTGGTTTTTTGCATATACCTGCCACCCCAGTTTTATATCTCACAGCTCCTCAAATACTGGATACTGGAGTCTTTACCCCATGTGCAGGTTTTAATTAAACAAAAGCCATTTAGATACTCTGATGATCTAAATATTCACAAGCTACGTGTGCGGTAATGTACTTGAAATAATCTCTGAGACCATTCTAAATAAGTGCACTTAAGTTAGTACACTTAAGTTAGTAGAGTCTTCCCACATCATGTAAAACAGGTCAGACACAGGTCCATTGCATTTTCACACTTAAAAGACCGAGTTTATGTAAATATAGAGAGATACTAAATGATCCAGCACTGAGAAGGTGAGTAGGTGGCCATGACTGCAGTACTTGTAGTGAATAGATATATATAAACACATTTCAATTCTATTTCCTCTTTCAGTCACCAGCAACAAATAAAAACAAACCCAAACCAGTTTGCCTTGAGAGATGCCAACAGAGAACAATTTCTAGGATGTACTGACTCCCACACTTTCTCACAATCTGATTCCTTCAAAATCATCCCAAGATGCACACTAACAAGCTGAAGACTTAAAAAGGACCTGGTCATTTTTGAAAATATAATGCTAACATGAAGTGTAGATTAAGAAACAGAAACGATTGAAACCTTAAACCTTACACTGGAAAATGTTTTTCTGTTGCTGTCTTTATCTGATTCATGACAGATTTCGAAGGTGTTTGGCAAAACACATTGTACAAATGCCTTTCCTATTGTATTGAAAAAACTATGAGCACAACTGGAAGACTTGCACATATTGTGAAATAATTTCTTTGCTTTCACGTCATTTTAATGTCACTCAATGTTTCTTAATGAAATCCTGAACAATAAACTGAGCTGTAGGCAGGATATCTACGTAGTAGTCCCCCTGCCTTTGGATGTTCTGAATGCCACACCCCCTTCTATCCCAGCACCTTTTCTTTTACAATCCCATAGACTTTGCTTGAATTCTAACTACTATCAGCGAACATCAAACAAATTCAGACCACTTTAGCTGATCAGTTCAGTGTGGCTCTTTGCTCAGAAACTCAGTGTGACCTTACCATTTGCTGAATCTGTAAATAAGTAATTATTTGGCTTACTTATTAAGGTAACACACCCTAGCTAGGATGAAAAACCAGACCTACAAGATAGTCCTCATCTCAAGTTTCTGCTGGCTGTACTGTCTCAAAGTATTTATCCATATTGTATTAGTGAAATTTCATCTACCTTTCATGCTGTAGCTGGAAGTGTGAGGCACAAGTGGTCAAAGCAATAGTCATCAACAGTTGTTTTCTCTCATTAATTTATGAGATTACAATCTTGTTCTGCAGATAGAAAGATACCTGTTCCTTACAACAGAAACTGTATTGCTAAGTATGTAATTAAAATTTTCTGTCAAATCACTTTTCATTAAAATATGTAGATCAATAATGGTATTACTAGGTGTCTGTGTAGAAGGCAAATAATTACATTTCAGACAAGGGGACTGTATTTCACACTATAGTTGATATCACCCAGAACATTCATCTTTTGTTTATACATTGAAATTCTAAATAACATCCCTTTACAAAAATAATTTGGGAATATCACAAAAATAACAGTTATGTTAAAAAAAATCAGACATGTAGATATATAAAAAAAAAATGCATTTTTGAAAGGATGTATTTTCCCAAACACTTTTTGCTTTTAATACTTAGAATAAGCAGTAAAGGAAAAAAATAATAAAAATTGATGGCACTGCTGGCAAAAATAGAGAACAGCAGTTGTTCTCTGTTTTTAACCAACAGATATCATTCTTGCGGGAGTATTCAGTACTACCTACAGGTATGGAAACAGTAGTCACCAGCCATTCCTTTGCTTTGTTGTTAATGTCTGCATTGTGGTGATTTTAACTTGCAATTTGTTTTCATTCAGGTTTTCTATTTAACAAGTACAACATTTTATAGGTAGTGGCTGCCATGAACAGCCTGATTTTAAGGCACATAATGATCCTTATCTTCCCCTAGAAGTGGTAATTAATGCAGAATCACAACATTGGTCAGGTTGGAAGGGACCTCAGGAGGTCATTTAGCCCAATCTGCTGTTAAGTTCAGCTCTGAATTCAGAACAGATTTGTCTAGACTTTGTACAGTCAGATCCCCAAAACGTTGTTGAAAAGATTTAAGAGTCCCTGTGGACAACCTGTCCAAAAAGTTCACGGCAAAAGACCCTTTTTTCATGTTTTGCTGGAACATCCGGCCTCCTCGCCCCCTATTTCCATGGCTTTACAACCACGGTCTCCCATTCTCACACTGTACTCCTCAGCTTCAGCTTCTCAGTAACTATCCTGTAGGTGTTGAAAGGTTGCTGTTAGGTTCCCCTGATGCCATGTCTTCTCCAGGCTGTCACACCATTTACTGAAATACATTTCTTAATACAGTGATATTTTTAATATAAAAAACCCACCAATCCAAAATAGCTAAAGATGGCAGCTAATCTAAACTGACCAGACCCTGCAAAGCTTTTTTCAAACAACAAGGGAAGGAACCAAAATCTTACCAACTTCAGTATGTCTCCTCACCGAAAGGAATTAAATTCTACACTCTGTCTGGTAGGTCATTTCAGGACCTCTCAATTAGGCAAATAAATGTGCTAACTTTTCAGTAAGTATTTAATGACATAAAAGTGTTTCAGTTCTGCATTAACTTTTCGAATTCTGCTAGTATACATTATTCTTGCAATACCAGCTTTGCAAGGGGGGGTGGGGGGGGCAGCATGCTTTTGGAGGCTGTTTTGAATATTGAGCATTATGAGTCATTTGTGACTGTGGAAATTACAGTAAGTCAATGGAGTTATGTCAGACCTGAACTGGACTCTTGACAGCACATCCTATCCGACACAAGCAAACAAACTCTCCAAATGTGGAAGGACAAAAAAAAATAAAATAAAATAAAAAAGCAAAACTGGGTGTTAGCATCTTCCACGTTTTAAGACACCTCTTAATCATCCAAATTAGACCCAAAGGTGTTCCTCCATTCTAGTGTTCTAGCTACCTAAGCAGACTAGTACATTTTATATCCAGTGAACTAAGATGAACAAAGTAGCTCACTTCTTTGCTACATTTCCCATTGGGAAGGAGCAGTGAACTGAGACTAAAAGCAACAGAACTTTTACAACCAAACCACTGACTGCATTTATTTTGTGACAAATCACATCATCTTTCTGTTTGCTGTTCCACACGCTGAGGAGAAATTCCCGTCCCAGTACTGAGGAAAATGCCATTATAGTAATAAAGCTCAAGAACAGCAGTAAGAGACTAAGCATCTACACAGATAGCAAGACTATTCTTGATCACATCAACATCCACACATCCTCTTGAGTCCACATCAGTACAAATTTGATGAGAATTTGGTCTCCATACCCCACAATCTTAACACATACATATCGGCTATTACTTCCAAATTTGCTGCTATTCTTTCTGCTAGGGAAATCTCAGGTGTCTCTCAACTACATTTGACCATCAATACTTAATACAACAATCTTTCTACACAAAAGTCAAGCCCAGCAGCCTTCAGTAGCAATTACACCTGCAACAGAAACATCCTTGTTCTCCAGAATATCAACTTGTAACAAGAAATTCAACACACACACCCCCCAGTCCCCAGATGTTGTCGCTGTAATTTTGATGGCTGCAGTGAACTTAAGGGCTGACTCTCAGAGGGCTGTTTTTTTATTAAAAGCAGTCATGTGCAACTCAGTGGTTTTTAAGCAGAAAGAGCAGCCGTCCATCTTTTCCTTGTGTGAGGCTGGGAACACAAGAGCCTTATGTTGTGGCATCTGAAATTCGTTTCTGCGCAAAATGAGAATTCATTTCAGGGGTGAGGAGCTACAGCAACTGCCTTGGTCCTCGGGCCACGGGAAGGGGCAGGCAGGGAGGAGGAGCATGGTCCAGGGCAGTCAGCAGGACTCATCGTCCAGCGTGCGGGCAGGTGGGAGGCAGGGAGGAGCTCACACATCCGCTTCTGCCCTAGGCCCCATGCACCTCAACACCAGCTCTGCCTAAGTTCTGCCAGTGGTTTCCTCTTGCCCGCACCTGAGCGACAGAGCCGCAGAGCCTGGCAGCTCGCCACTGCCTTGCCCTTCCTTCCAGCAAACAAGAAGGTCCCAATTATGCAAACACGCGCATTGACTCACGGGTTGCTCATGTGCCGAGTGGCTACAAGATGAGAGCCCACTGTTCAATGAGGGAAGATCCAGTGCAATAAAAGCACATCTTATGTGGTACTGTAAAGTTTTGAATACCTGCAAAAGCCTTTCCTGAGGACTAGAGAGTTGACACTACCCACACAGCTCCCAGAACAGCAGGGGAATTGTCTGCCAAAAGACTGGGCTGAGTCACAGAATTCTCAGGAGGGTATGTCTATGCTATAGTCACAAGTGATGGGACTGCAATACCACATAAACATAGCTGAGCATGCTTTAAATTAGCTAGCTTCGGCACCAGGAGTAGTCTAGCCACTGAGTTCAGGGCAGCCTAACCACTTAAGTATTTACCCGTCTTTTTGGGCATGTTTTCCAGCCAGCCCTGAGTTCCACGCTGCCACAGCTGGATTGGTACCAGCTCCCCAGCTGACTAGTTTAAAGCCAGCTCAGGTATGTGTGACTGCAGCACAGACATAGCTAAGCTTCCAAATCATTTATATTCCTATTTAAACTCCTACTGTCTCAACTTCCACATTTCTAAAAACTTGGAATTACAACACTGGCCTGTATCGTCACTGGATTGCTGAGATTAAACATTTGGGGTGCAATAAGTAAGCACCATTTGAAATGTGAAATTTATGGTTCTTCCAAGATGTGAACTGTGTTTAACAAAAATAACGAATATTGCTGGCTATGTGATGACCTCTCTCTCATTTGTTCTAGAAGCGGTTCAGTGAGCACCAGATGCATGAGGTGACTATCTGACCTAAAAATCTCCACAACACAGTAAGTGTATACATGGATATCCAAATAACTCAAACATGTCCAGGCCTTACCCTCTATCCGTGGACTAAGGGAAAAGCCCACTGATTCCAGTGGACATTTTCACTGCATAAATACCACTCACTAACTATATAGTATATTTTGTAATGCATAGCAACTTGGAAGAAATGCCAGCTTAACGCTAGCACTGCTTAGGACCAGCAAACCACTCCAATTTCACCCCATAACTTGAACAAAGGACTGAAAAAGTACACAGAATCTTAACTACTTCTTTAATTTTTAACTGTTTTTTGGAAAGCAGAATACGTTTTTTACCTTTAAAAGCTATATATTTGTGTACAACTTAAGTCACATTCATCACAGTGGTAATACAGCTGATGTTCATTTCATCATGGCTGTATTCGGTCCTTTAACAGACACCTGAATATATTAAACCTTTTCATTTATTATTTTAATACCAATTTGTTCATGCCAAAGATCTATACACTTCCCTCCACCCACTCTATGTACTGTCTCCTGCCTGCTTATACCAGAAATCTGTATGTGCCAACACACTCCCTGCCTGAAAGTGCAGATCCTCAGGAACGTGTCACATCAAACACTCCATCTCATGGCAAGGGCTCATGCCATGTGCTACAAAACAAAGGATGGCCAAGCAATATCCTTTATTCTTTCAATACCAAGGACTTGTATACCACTTTTCTTTCTTCTGTTTTGACAAAAAAGTAATTCAGCACATCAACATTTGAAATGCTGCAGGGATGATGGGCAGAGCAGAAATGGAGGAGGTGTTCGGCTGGAAGATGTTAAGGGCTGCCATCAGCTAGCCCTTTGATCTAGAAACACTTCCAGACCTGGTTAAAACTGCTGGGTCTGCTAACCAGATGGCAAGGACTCCCTGTGTTCCCAGCTTTTCCCTCCTGGATTTTCAATTCCTATTAAAATCAATGAGATTCTGCTCCCTTCAGAATTTGAACATCCTTGCAAACATTTTACTTGTTAAAGTATGAAAACCAAGCACAGGAAGCCAACAAAACACTGACAGGTGTACAGCCATGCTTGGCACTGCAAAAGCATCATTGACAACCCTCCCTTTCCTCGCATTTGCCAATACAAATGCAAAAATGACTTCACAAGAAGACAGTAAAATTACATTGGATTAGAACAGGTTCATCTGAGGCCAGAACTAGGCAATAGTTAACAGGAAAACTTCGGGAATTCACCAGAAGCAGCACGATAGCTACTACTAATTATTTTGGCATTTCTCATTGTTTGACATCAAAACAGCTCTGCCTCTGACCTAAGGGTTCTAGTCAGCTGTGGAACCTCTGCTAGTTCCCAGAGTGAAAGAATGCAAAACTGGGACACAGGCACTTTATCTTGAGCATGTTCATGCAAGAACACCACAGCATCTCCTTTTCACAGCCCCAGTGATACGTTTTGTGTCCGTCTGTATGTTCTAACACAGCAATTCTGTTTATTTTATAGGCTTATAATAAAAAAATGACACTTTATGAGCTACATGATAGTATTTCAACAATACCTTGTTGTGACATGATAGGGTGTAATTACTTAGCAGGAGATACTACAATTTATTGTTATGTCATTGAGTCATACCCTTCAGGGCTTCAGACTGGTGTCTTAGTTTGCTTTTTGAAGCCATACAGACTTCAGCCTACAGTCAAGGGAAGCATTGAAACATCCTAGAAATAAAGACATAGACCAAACGTGCCTGCACACAGCACCGTGCTGGAAAGCACTTCCCTCGTCCTTTCACCTTCTCTCTTTGTTTTGCTTTAATAGCACTATTCACTGGGCTAATCATAATGAAAGAGAACATAAATTTTGACTCAAAAATACAAAAAAAGGAGAAAGGTATGTTACATTAAGGTACTATTCAGGCAGTTAAATACACAGACACAGCCTGTGAAGCTAGAGATGCTCAGCACCTACTACTGACTTTACCCATGAGAGGAAGCATGTAATCGGAGCCCCAAAGGATGACCTCTCCACCATACACAAGCATCATCGCTGGCTTTTCATCTGTCCACAGTCTGTGCTGCAGGACAGGGCCTCGCCAAGCACAGCATTGTGCCTCTTCCTTGGCGTCCTTTTTAGGTACCACGTATCAGTGAGGAAAGGACATCACTGTATATGGCACGCTGTAACAACTGTAAGCACAATACAGTGAATTGGTGCCATCACCTTTCCCTAACCACGGGTGTTTCAGACAGTAGGGCAGGACGTTTGGGGTTTTTTATAAAGCATTTCTCCGAGTGAATTCCCCCGGTCTACAGTGGGTACGAAGATAAGCAGCTCCGTTTCACAGCCGGTAGAAACTCCGTGTCGAGCAGCAAGCGCAGCCTTGGACAATCTGAGCCACCCCACCGCCACGGCGTGCCCGGAGACCCTGCGCCTCGGGAGCGCAGCGAACCGTGCCGCGGGGCCGGGCTGGGCCGTGCCGTGCCTCCTCGTCCCGGCCACCCCCCAAGGAAGCCGCCTCTGCCCCGCTCCTGCCCCTCCAGCTGCCAGGGGAGCCCGGGGAGAGGGAAGACTGGGACGGACACACACAGCACACCTGCCAAGGTGCCAGCCGCGGCGTGGGGCAGGCGGGGGAGCCGCGAGGGGCCGGCCCACAGCCGGGGGACACCACCTCCTCCTCCAGGAGGCCGAGGCGAGCGGAGCTGGCAGTGCTTCTCCCCTCCTGTCCCCTTCCCTCCCGTGTGGAGCCTCTCCCCGGCGGGAGGCGGGAGCACACCCGGGCACGACGGGCTGATCACAACCATAACCCCCCCCGGCGTGGGCCTCAGGCAGTCGGCAGCCTCAGCCCCGGCGGCCGGAGCGGGCGAGCCGCCAAGCCGGGGAGGAGGCGCGCAGGCACCTCCGCCCCGCGCTCCAGCCGCCGGCCCGCACCGCGGTGCCTCTGCCTCGCCCGCCTCGCCTCGCCCGGCCCCGACAC